TAGAATGGGCAGCTGAAGTGCCTTCTGTCTAAAAGGCCATTTGCTCTTCGTTTCATCCGTGTTAAATTCAAGTGATGTCTCCAGATAATGCTCAAACTTTTTGCCAGGGGCAGATCAGCAAAGATAGATCTTTAAGCAAAACATTAACTATTTTATCTAATATTAAGCCATCTCTAATATGAACTTGCAGGTAATGCAAGCTGGAACTGCATTTTGTGTGTTTCAAATGAAATACAGTGGACAAAAAAATGATGTAAACTGCATGTCAGTTTCAGTATCTTATATTTAGAACGGTATTTTTAATGTTGGGAAAAGCATTTGTCATTTTTGCAGTGTTTGGACCTTAACTGGTTTTGCTTTGGTCCTGTGAGTGGGACTCGCTGTTGCATAGCTGAGGAGCTGGTTGAAGGGAAACTATTGCCAAGTGTCTGGGCTTTGGGGTAGAGGGGAAAATTTGAATCATATTTCCCCTATTTTGCATATCTCTCAGGTCAGATAAAATGTAGTGTGAGTTTTAAAGTCAGCACAAGCTATCACTAGTTTTTTTTTATCTCCTTTTTGGCAATTTGGTGAGAAGTGGACCATATGCCTGGTCGTTTTACCAATGGAGTTGGGAAGCTCCTTGTTTTCAGAAAGCCTAAACAGGCAGCGCCAACATGAGATTTGTTTCCCTGGTCTCACTCGTACCATGTGTGCTGGGTTGTCTGGATCTCAGACTCATTATAGCAGAGGTAGAATTTAGAGATAGAAGTGCTTAAGAACAAAAGACTCAGGTATTACACCCAGAAGTAGTCTTTGCTCCTTAAGAGTCCTGATATGTTTTTCATGTATTACAGGATCCCCTAGAGCTTGAACAACCGCTGTTACTAAACTTAAAAACAAACTTAAAAATTGCTAAGACCTAATGAAAATTGATCTAGAAAATAAAGTAGAAAGTTGAAAATGTCTGCTTTCCGTATAATACCTTTTTGTATCAAGTATTAACTAAAATGCTTGTTTGAAGTGTTTCTGTGTTTCATTCTCTGAATGCCTAGGAGAGCAAGGTTGTTTGAAGAAAGTGAGAGAATTAGAAATAAGGACTTAATTGTGTGTCTAGTGCTTATTGCAGCTACATTTTGTTTCCTTGTGAAAGCGATCCTTCCATTTGAGATTGAAGTTATGAGCAGGTACACAGAGTTGATTTAGGAAAGACTTAATCTGGAGTAACAGAAAAGAGTTGTAAATCAAAGTTGAGGTATTTTAGTAACAATTAAGTGCAATGAATATGCATTTTTCTGCCATAAATTTTACTGGCGAGGTAATAATCTTCTGTTAGCCCAACTGATGTAGCTGAAAAAATCATTAATATTTGGATGGTTGCACTTTCATTGTCATAAGGATTTTTTGATTGCATTATTACAGCAATGACAAATAATGATGACTCTTTATAGGACATCTCTAAAAGGACACTTAAATATTATGTTAAAATTGAATGGACCTTTTCAATGAAAAATAACATGGGGGGGGAACTATTTTCTGAATTTGTATGTCAAATTTATATTACTTTCTAGCAGTGACCACTTCATTGTGCAGATCACTATGCCAGTAATAATCACCGTGGTGCATCAGTGATAAGGGGGAAGCTCTTGGAACATTGTGTAGCAATTAATGATAACAAATAATAAAGTGTCAAATTTGTGAATGTTTCTTCAGTAACTAATCTGACATTTCAGTACGAGTGAGAACTCCTGTGGAATTTTAACAGTCTTCAGAACCGGAGTGCAAACGCGAGATAGCCATAATGTTGTTTGTCATGCTTAATGTGTTTTTGGTGTGCAAATTACATGCTGTATAAGTTTGGCTGTTTAAAAGCTACATTTTATAAAAATAAACCCTAAGGCAATAATCTTCCTCCAGTTGCTGTGCTTGTGTTTAGGATAAGCTTATGTAAACTGAAGGGATATATGCAGGGTTTTTTTGAGATAAGAATCTACATTCCAGCAACTAGTAATTATACAATAAACAATTAACCGTTCTTATAAACAGTGTTTTTATTGAAAGATGAATTCACTTTTGAGGTTGTGGTTGCACAAACTATGACCTGGGAGTTTTTATTAAAAAATAAAAAAAGCGTCATATACTTTTAGTGTTCTTTTGATGCTCACAATCGTTAGAATTTTGAGATTCTAGTAATTAACAAGGTTTTTTAGATACTAGGCCTAGGGGTTATTTTGTATCCCAGTGTTAATTCCAGCACCATCCATGTTGCACGTCTAAGTTTCTTTTACAAGTAGCTTTTATAATTCAGAGTGTAGTGCCTCACATCTACACACTTGTGTGTTAGACTGTTATGTAGTCTTTGCCTATACCGTGCTATTCCTTTACAAAGAAGTGACTCTCAGTCTTCAAATTGTTACCAGAATAAGTAGAAATTTCAAGTTAAAAATACAAAAAAAAAAAAAAAACACCAACCAACCAGCAGACCAATTTTTAGGTTACCAGGTTTTTTCAGTAGTTAACATGAAGTTCATCCACTTTTGGTCATGACCTTTTGCTGTGGCAATGTGAAAGCAGGGATGATGCAGTATTACTAGATTTAATCTGTACTGGTTTCTGTGGGTCTCACCTTATCTGAAAGGATTTTTGCTGCGAAGCGTATGCCCACTTGCCTGGAACACTACAACAACACCAAACATGCCTCTCAGCCTGAAAATAGCCTAAATGGGAAAATGAAGGTGCTCTGCTGAATGAGCAATCCACGTGTGACTTCATAGTTTGCCTTTTAAATGTGTATGAAAAAAATGTCAGCATCATGTACTTTTGTACAGGTAAATGCTTAAAGAAAATGTTAAAGTAAAACCTACTGCCAGGCTGGACAGGGCTTTGAGCATCCTGGTCTGGTGGAAGGTGTCCCTGCTCATGGCAAAGGGTTGGAGCTGGATGAGCTTTAAGGTACTGTCCAACCCAAGAAATTCTGTGATTCTTTTGTGAATAGAAAGTTTTCATAAGGTCAGCATTTGTGTCAGTGAATCTTGCTAGCAATGCATGTGCTACTAGCATGGTTCAGCTTAGAAACCTACTTTCTCATGTAGTACATTTTTATTTTTCATGTGTCCTAAGTTTTATGTTTTTTCTGGCTATGTAAGTGTGTTCAAAAAGACCCAAAACCACCTTACCTTTAAATTTGCCTTGTAAAAAACAACTTAATTCGGCTTTATTACATCCATAATGTTTTACATACAGAACACTATTACGAATTTTTGGTCTGGAAGTTGTCCGTAGTAATGATGCAAACAATTAGATTTCAGTCAACGTACAACAGAAATCTGTTGCTGATACAGCGCTGAACTGCACAGAAGTCTGTTCTCTACAACATAAGGGCAAAGATGTGCTGACTCTGAATTGAGGTTTGGGTATTCTCTAAATGGTAGTTATTACTGTCAAAGGTGTGAAAGTGATAGACGCAGAAGCTTTTTGTAAAAAAATGAAGGATTTTTGTTCATTATTTAGGCTTGTGCCTTAGTCTGGCATGCTGACAATATGACATTGCTATGCTCTAAGCAGGTGAAATGGAAAATACATCCCCTGTTAGTGCATCTTGGGCACAGAAGTTAGTCTAGAAGCCTAAAGCCTAAAATGTTGTATCCCTTACAGACAGGCTTTTGTTAGCTCATAACGTGTGGAGGTTACACTGCTCTCAAAGGCTCCTCACAGCTCCACTGTCTCCTCTTGCCATGTTAATGAAAACAAAGCAAAAGCAGCAGTGTTCCCAATTTTTAAAATTATTTGGTGACTTCTATAAAAGTTTCCCATGATGTCATGATTCCTGGCATAAAGTGTTCCATTTTTCCCTTAAGCAGAGTGACTGCCCCCTCATCCCAGGGGATGAAAGAGGATAGGGGAAGCCTCCCTTATAGCAGGCAGCAGGGAGGGCTGTGGGTTTTGCTGTTAGGGTTTTTTTTGGCATCTGTTTACAATTTAATTTTGAACTTAAAGCATATCTCACATGTGCAGTGGAGTAGGTAGCAGCTACCTATAAACTTAATGTCCAAAAGGCAAGAAGAGAAGGTAAACCATTATTTGGTTGGGCTGGCTTTTTTCCATTAGACAGGTGCTATACAGAGATGAATCTGTAGAAGCTTGAAAATTTTGGGATTTTGTTTTGCTTCTCCCTCCTTTTTCTGCCATTTAAAGTTGGAAATCATTAGCACTTTTGGCATGTTCCTGATGTAGCTTGATATTTAGATCATGTTTCTTTATTTTCTGCATTTTTGCTTTTGCACAGGCCAGACATTGTATTTTCAGTTTGCTTCCACTGATTACAACATCATGTTAATGTAGATGACTCATTTCAAAACATAAAATAAGATCTGTGGATCATTAACTTGCATTTAATGGTAGGAGGTCTGAGGACTGGGATTGGTAACTTGGTAGTGTTGTTGCTGTCAATTTTGTTAGAATTGCACCAAAATTAACAAAATCTTTAAAAAAACTGTTGCTCCCACAGCTTCCTTGTTATTCCGGCCTTTGTATTAAATCTGGTCCTGTAAGTTCTAACAGAATCGGAAACTGAAATGTTAAAAGTAGGCATGTATTTGTAGTCATCTGCTTTGCAGATTTACATCAGTAAATCGTTACCGAAAGTGTCCATTCAGTGTTTCTTACAGTTGAACTAGGAAGACCTGTGTCTTCCGGACTAGACCTTTGTAGACTTCACAACTTTGATTTTTGTAAGGCTTCTCTCTCTCCCTGCTTTGGCTCGTTAAGTTTTGAAGTGATTTTTGTCTGCTTAACATTTTTAGTTATGTCCTAGCGCAACTATGTCTGTTAGTTCTTGGGCTCATGTTCTCTTTTGTTTCCTCAATTTCTTGAGTTGTGGTTGGGATTTCATACTTGTACTTTGTTACTGTAGCTGGCGCTGTTTTGTTGGGTTGGGGGTTTTTGTTGCGTTTTTTGTTGGTTGATTGGTTGGGTTGGGGTTTGTGGGTTTTTTTGTTAATAATGTTTAATTTCTTTCTTAGCTTAAGCTATGGAGGAGGACATTCATCACATTCAGAAGCAGAACTTCACAGACAAACATACACAGCTTCTCATCAGCTTCCTGGATACTCTGCTACACATCATTCTACTGGTAACTGTCCATTTAATGAGTTTACAGCTTAAATAGCTAAAGGAAAAAAAACAACAAACCTATTACATAATTTAGGTTCACGTTGCTGAATTTTATAATCAGAGGGATTTTGTCATGCAGGTGGTAGCAGGTAGTATTAGAAGAGCTGAGTTTGTAGTAGGAAGTTAACAGTCAGTTTTTAGCTTTTATCAAAATGTCATAAGTAGAAAGGAAATATAAGGGGAGGGGGCTGTGTTTATGAACTTAATGTTGGTTCTTAAAAAAACTACATTTATTCTTTAAAATACAGCTTTTCAGGTTTTGGCCTACACATAAGGGCCAAATATTAAGTATGCCTTGAAGCTAGCTGCAGAAATCACACTTATTCTTTTAGAGTAAAGCAAACAGCAAAGCTAATGCAAGTTTGAGCACACTGTTGCTACTGTTTACCTGTGCAAACTAAGCCGTAGTGCTGGGGGAAAGTTAAAGTTTAGATATAATAGGAGCTTAGGCTGTGTTACATCTGCATCAGGATCTGTTGGTGATCCTGATTATAGCCTTTCTGCATGTCAGGAGAAGACAGGGCATGACCACTTCATGATCGCTTTGCAGCCCAGTTTCTAAGGAATGATATTTGAGCTTGTGCTGGCTGGAATCTGCAGTCTCTTGGCCAAGTCCTTGGTCAGGATGATGGAGGGTCAGAACTGCAGGGAATGTTCCAGGGTGCAGACCCTACAGTCTTTCATAATGTCTGTTACTAAAAACTGGTTCTCTCCAGTGCTTCCCTCTGAGCCTCCTGCCACTGAAAGGTGTCAGCAACAGGGAACCACAAAGGTGTTCACTGGAACGGGGAATGCAGCCAAAACCCCTTTTCTTGTGCTAGTCACAGAAAAAAACTCCAGACTGCAGAGGACTCCAAACTGCAAGACTCCAAAGAGCAAGAACTGGGGGGAAAGGTGAACAGAGAAGCTGAACCTATTTCAGAAGAAATTTTGAATGTTTAAATAGTTTGTATGAAAAAAATAGAATGATGGAGAATTTTATCAGTGTACCGAAATATTGGTTTTAAGAATGATATTTGGCATGCATTTAATAGATTTTAAAATGTATATTCAAGTTCTAGTTTACAGTTGCAACACTATGGAACAGTCAAAACTGAAAAATCAATGTACTTTAATAATGCTGCTAATGTTTCATAGATTACTTTTACTGAATGATGAATGTATATGCTTGCTATTTGATTGAGCTTCTTGTAAGTTCATCTAAATTGTCTGTTCTGTTTCATTTCCCTCCACTCTTATCTAGGTCTTTCAGGAATATTTGATACCACCAGTATGCACAGTGCTGGAAGTAACAATAAGGAAACTTCTTCAGTTATGAATTTTCTCTCTGCTATTGAGTCTCGTACTGCTCAGGCAGTCTCTTCAGGATCTACCCTTTTACCACAGTTCAGGGCTCCTTCCTGGCAGACAGGTGAAAATTTTCTCTTGAAATAGAATTTGTCATTGTTACCTTGAATGTTGGGGAGAATTTGAAGCAATAATACCCTCACTTAACTGAAAAGGCTACACGTCTTCTACCTCTTTTCCATCTCAGTATTTAAATATCTCAAAATCGATGAAATTACATTACCAGAAGGATTCTATTAGAGGAAGAATTACATGAGCAGAAGTTCTAATTGTTTAGAAGGGTTTTGGATGTATAGGATATTATTTTGTCGAAAGAGTCAAATATATTCTCCAACTTTGGGATTACTCTTGCTAACACCGTAAGCACATGTAGTAGGCTACCTGTACACCTGACCAGGACTTTCATTCTCAAAGTGTTCCCCTGTCATAGTTGTTGTTCTGTGATATTTGTACTAGAAGTCTGTGGATAACTTTAGCCCCTTTGTACACAGAAGTAATGAGCAAGATGTTCTCAAAAACAAGGTCTGAGATGCATGTTGCACAGAAATAGCTGATCTAATTTACAAATAAACAAACATGCCATCTTTATTGGCAGGCTGACTGCCTTCTGCAAACCTCCCCATCTGTGAAGCCTTCTGTGCAAAGCAGGAAACATTGCATATTTTGAGCTTGCTGTGGACAGCCACAGTAAGACAAGTGTTGCTACTGCATCTCTGGGTAGCTTCTAGGTATGGTTAACATTATGCAGTGATTTCACAGCTGTGCAGTGAGTCAGATCTAGTCACTCATCTGACAGAAAAGGTTTGGGTGGGTTTTCTTTTGGTGGGATGGGTTTCTGTCATATCATCAAGCTGATCTCTGTCCTGGTGCAGCTGTGTGATTGCTGGTTCTGATTTAGGGAGGAGGCATAAGGTAGGAAGAGGGAAGAGTTGAACAGTCCTTTTGTTGGCAGTTTGTACTTGATCTGTTCAGTGTAACATGCAGCTGCATTCTGTGAAGAGCTACTCAAAGGTGAGAAGAGAGAATGTGGCTTTTTATTCACCATGGCCAGAAACATATGTGTGGGAGCACAGATGAAGATGCACACTGTTAGTCTGTCAAAAAAAATCTTACTATAGATCAGTGGTGTTTAGAGTAGCGATGACCTATCCTCACAGCAGATTATCAGCTGGGAAGAAATCTTTTTTCTCTTCGTCCTAGCATGTTTTCTCCATTGCAGCCTGCCTAACAGTGAATTGTGAAGAATGGGGAGACATGCTGTGGGTCGGGTTTGATGTTGATACCTGTGATTGAGAGACTTCTCAGTACTCAGTACTAAGAACTCATCAGTAAGCCCATTTTCAATATTATAGTTCTCTGAGATTTCTGTTGTCCTTTAATACTTTTGTTGCTTTTCTGTATCCCTCGGTCTCCCCAAGTGTCTTTTGAGAGCTTTGTCTTCTACAGACTTTTTTGATGAGGAAAGGCAAGTGCTCTTTGCTCTTCAAGGTGACCTTTCTTCAGAAGGGCTTTTCACTTTGTTTTTTTTCTCCAAACTCTGCAACTGCTGATTTTGGGGAGAAAAGAGGAGCAGCATGTTTGTTATATTGTCCTATCAAGTCTTCCTCTGGTATTTTTATCAGTGTTCTGATTTCTTAGAGTAGTGTGGGGGTGTCTGGGCACACAACTTACTACCTTTGCCATACCTTTTGTCTGCTCCTTTACACAAGTAAAATATAAACCCAGCAGTTCTGCTGTGATGATGCTTCTGTGACTGGCCCATGTCTGGTTCAAAAAATCACCTGCGTAGTAGGAAGGGCTTTAATTTATAGAAGGGAAAAATACAAGTTAGATGAGAAATTAACATCTGCAGTTACAACAGGTGTAAATATTTCCCCTTCTTTGATGCTTCTGGATGCCCCTACTGCTGTGTTCCTAGTAGGGATCAGTAAAAGAGAACCCAGTTGTACATAATGTTGAAGTTTTTTAGAGCAGGGAAAAAAAGGTATTAAAACACTGCTTAGGCTTTCTTACTCAGAAAGACCTTATTGTTAACTTATGAAAAATACCTTGGTGTTCTCTCAGTCTCACATCTCTTCATATCAGTTTGTCTTGAACAAAAACTTTCTTTTGCAGTTTCATCTGAAACTTCCAAAGCAACGTATGATTATGTTGCAGTCAGTTTAAGAGGACTGAATACATTTTAAAATCAATTTTTTTTCCTGAAGTGTTTGTCTCAAACCCACCTTTTATTTACTGTGAGTTTTTTTATTTTTTCTTAAATTATACAAAACTAAAAGCTGTTTTAAATGTCTAAGAAGAACTAAAAAAGGTCAAATTAAACCAGTAACTTTCACTTTATTTTCTGATTTGCATACCCTTTGCAAGAAGTTTAAGTCTTCCTGAGAATAAACTTACCTTCACTTCCGTTCACAGACTTTGGAAATAGCACACAGACTTCACCAGTACCTGTAAGTTACAGGGTGAAAAGCACTGGACAGTATGGATCACTGCAAGGGAAAACTTGCAAGGGCATTTCTCACTCCTCTTGCAATTGGAGTAGTATGTGCTGTAGAGAAATATTATTTAAGGCAGGATATCATACTAGTATTCAGATACAAACAAGTAATATTATACCTTTCAGTTAGATACTTGCTGTTGCACTGTGCAGATAATTGCTGTCTGCGAATATTTTGGAAAGCATACAAATCATATTTATTCTTTTTATTGAAAGTCAAAGCCCTCTTTTAAGGAACACATTACAAAGTGTGGCTGTTAGCTATTTCACTGTAAGCTCCAAAATGTTTCCATAAAGTGAGGTATGAAAGTATTGGTGAGGGTGGATGCAGGAGATGGAATTGTTCCTTTAACTGTGTATGTATTACAATTGGTGAGGTGTAATTTTGCCTTTTACTGTATATTAAAGGTGAGCAGGGCTTTTTATAAGTTGTCCTCTACTACAAACTTCTTTCTAAACTGAAAGAAAAAGTAATAAAGAGCTTTCAGTTTCAAAGAAGAATTCATCTGGTACAATTTTTTTATCCACAGTTTTTGTCATAAGGATACGATATTTTTTTCCCCTTGCCAATTCACTGTGGGTACAGAATTTGGAATTCTTAGAAAACCCTGCACTTCCAGTTTGACCCACAGTAAGGGCCTCCCTTTTATATGTTTTCATTTAAAAGGGGTGGTGATTCTAATGAAGGGTACATCTGTAAATGCTGTAAAATCTTACAGTCAAATGAGTTATAGAAATGCAGAGTGTTGCAACTTGTAAAACTCCCTTATGCTCTTTTTATTCTTGTTTTTTGTTGTTTTTTTTTCCAGGTATGCATTCTTCAACAGCCACAGAACTTTTTGTTACTGGAGCTTTGCCAACCTCTGGAACATTTCCACCAACATCTGCTTTATCAGCATATCAGCATCCCAACACTTTCAGTAGTAGAAACTTTGCTACTACCCCTTCTCTTACTCTTCAAGATACTACTTTCAGTGCTACATCTAATGGTCTCTTAACTACCCATGATCCTTTATTGCAGATTAAAACATCACAAGGCACTGTTCCAACTGCTGTGACATTTGAGCGCCTAGGCAGTTCTGTTTTAAGTACCAGTATACCACCTCAGTCATCAACATATCGTTCTGCTCAAGAATCTGCACCCCATCTCTTGCAACCTCAATTTAGTTTGTTGCCTTCAACCCTTGGAGGAGCTCAGCAGGTTTCTCAGGCATATAGCACATCTGTCTTTACTGGTTCCACTGCTTCTATTGATCGAGCACTTCAGCGCGAATGTAGTGTTATTAAACACCATCAGCGGCCTTCAAGTACTCAGTCTGTTCAGGCTCAACTGACTGTTTCACAGCATTCCTTACACAGCTATTTAACAAGTACAGGTGGAGTTAATTTTCAGGATACATCTAGGCACTCAGCATTATCTTGCAGCCCAGTTGGAGATGTTACTCAGGTGAGCAATGGAGGACTACAGCAGAAGACTTCTCAAGTCACAGTGGAACTTGCTCAGTCGTACACATCTGCAATTCCATCACCTGGTTTTCCATCTGCTTCCACAACAAAAGTGAAAAACTGTTCCATGAAGCAGCCTCCAAGGTCAGCAAAGACCCCCAAGCCTCAGAGTGTAGCTCCCACTGTGCAGACACAAAGCTATGCTACAACTGCACAAAACCAGAGTTCTGTCATTACAGGCCAAGCACAGATCTATTCTACAGCACAGCTCCCAAGCCTCTTGTCAGTCAGCCAGTCCCAAAACTATGTTTCATCCCCAACTCAGAGTGTGCCACCTGTCAGTCACTCACAGGATTTCTCATCCAGCAAGGCTGAGAAGCTCCCCTCACTGTATAAAACATTGACTTTTTCTGGGCAATCACAAGCTATTACTTCTGATAGTCAAACTCTCAGTTACCCCTCAGAGGAACAGGTATTGACTTCAGTTCCAAATGAGAATTACTCTGGGCAAACGAGGGAACTTTCTTCAGTCAGCCAATCTCAGAGCTACTCTTCTAGTCACACTCAGGGTTTATCTCCAGTTAGCCAATCCCAAGTTAGTTTTTCATCTCAGTCACAAGTTTTATCAGCTGTTAGTCCTTCAGAAAGCTATTCTTCAGGGCAGTCTTTAACACTGACATCGCCTTCCCTTTCCTTTAATGCCTCTCCTCGGATACAAGCTCTTCCAGCCTCGAGTCCTAACCAGAGCTATATTTCTTTACATTCTTCTCAGAATTCTCAATCACAGGAATCCTCCTCTCCACAGTCTCAGAAGTTTTTGCCATCTGTCCAGTCTCCTCCTTTTGCATCCCCAGCTCATTCACAGACACTGCAGAACAGCAGGCCTTCCTCAGAAACAAAGTCATATGTTAAAAGGAAGTCTGACTCTAATTTGTATGCCTCATCAAAACGAGAGGAGGAATTATCAATGCAGGATATGCAGGCATTGCAACAGCAAGCTACTCTTGAGTCTTCCACTCAAAGGCTAACTGATGAGGAAATCAATGCTCAGGATACATCCTATAGGGTCTCAAAAGCAGATGACAGATACTCTCAAAGTGTCATCAGAAGTAACTCTCGTCTTGAGGATCAAGTTGTGGGACTTACTCTTCAAGGAACAAAAAAAGATGAAAGAATGGTCAATTCTGTGGAACAGCTTTCCCAGCATATTGGCCATATCACTAGTCTAAGCCATGATATGAAGAAGACAGCTAATTTAATGCACACGACACAAGTAACTGTGAGCACTAAAGAACTAAACCAGCAACATTCTCTTATGCATAAGGTACATGAAAGTAAAGCTCAAGAACAGCAAGGCCAAGTCATCAGCACACCATCGCAGGTTCAGTCTCATGCTTTAAGGCATGGTCATCAGCTGTGCTTGCCCAGTACACAGGTACTGCTGGAGTCAGCCTGTGACTTGCAGGTTCTTCACCAGTCAATACTTCAGTCAGGTTTAGGACAAACAAAGGCATCACCACAAGTGCAAAGAATACAGAGTCCTCAACAGGTGCCACATCCATTCCTTCAGATGGATGGTCATATTATTCAAAGTAACGGGGGTCATTCGCAGCAGCAGCTTCATACTCAGAATTCAGAAGTCATGAAAATGGACATTTCTGAGCCCTCAAAGACACTACAGCAGCATTTGACAACAAAAGATCATTTTACTCAGACAAATCAACATGATTCAAAAAACCAGTTTGTTTCTCTCAGTTCAATATGTTTCCCAGAATCTATACTTCTCAGTGATGAGAGGAATATATTATCCAATGTAGATGACATCTTAGCAGCAACAGCAGCAGCCTGTGGAGTAGCACCGTCTGACTTTGCCAAATCAAATTCTAATGATGGGGAAATCCAGTCTGTTGAAAATCGTGAGGAGTCTAAACCACAGTTTCGATCAGTGGATGTAAGACACGTGTCTTCTGGTTTCAGTGCCTCACCTACAGTAGTTGGAAAGCCAACAAGCATTAGTAATATTTCCTTGAATGGAAGCCAAATTACTATAAATCTTACACCAGTGTCAACAATACAGACAAAAACTGTGAACTTTGATCAGCAACACATTGAAACTTCAGATCAAAATGTAGCAACAAGAATGACCTCTCCCACCCTTGGCCCTGGTCAAGAAGAGCAGGAGCAAGGGGCTGTTCCAGTTAAGAAACAATGTAGCATCAGTCATGAATCTGAAGAAGATAATGATGCTTCAGCTGATGGTACACTGAATGCAAGAGACACAGAATTTGTTTCAAGTGGTAGGAGCCTAAGTGGAGAAAGTGCTGCTTCAGAGAATGACTTTAATATGGGTGGTGATGATGGTACTGTGGCAGGTAACCAGTCAAAGGTTTCGTTGCAGCCACTCTCTGTGCCCCACAGTGGAGATGGAACCATTAACAGAACTGAAGAAGAATGCCAAGATCTATCTCAAGGGAACCTTCAAAAGAAAAAAAACAAAGGAAAAATCCAAACCAGAAATGCTGCGGAAGATGACAGTGCAATTCAGAAACAGCTAAAAAGAAGTGGACAGTGCAAACGACAGAATTCGAGAGGAAGTGACTCGTGTTTCACATATTCTTCTGCTGTTTCTGAAAGTTGTTATGATACTTACCAGCATCAGGAAAGAATGAGGCAAAAAATCAAAGAAGTTGAAGAAAAACAGCCTGAAGTCAAAACAGGATTTATTGCATCTTTTTTAGACTTCCTAAAATCTGGGCCGAGGCAGCAGTTTTCAGCTCCAGCCGTCCGAATGCCAAACAGGACGAGGCGACCTGTTAACCAGGTAGTTCGTGCCCCATGCCTTCAGCCCTCTGCAAAGCCTCAGCCAGCAGCAGCAGCACCTGTAGCTGCTGAAGGTAGTGATGAAAGTCCAACCAAAAATACTGATGAAGAACTTAAGAAAAATTTAGAAGCATTGGCTTCATTTTCTTCTGATGAAGATGATTCTGTGGGGGGTAACCACGATCTTCAGAAGAGCATCTCTACTGCATTGTCAGCCCTGGATGATACATCTGATAGAAAGAACAAATCAGGTAAAACAAGTGCACATGTTGAAGGAGATTCCTGTAGTTGATGGTGAAAAAATAAGGAATAATTTTAGCTACCTTCAGCTGAGGTAAAGGTTTTGATTTGGTTTAGTTTTAATCCCAGCCATAATAAAGAGTTATGTTCAGAAGGTGCACTGACTATGAACCAAACTAGTGTTTTATACTATTAGAAAATCTGTAGATAAACTTTTTAATGCTACTTAAGTAGGACTCTTCTAATGCCAGAAAGTTATTTTAGCTGAGAATTGGAATAATGTGTCTGTTTTCTTCTTTGGCTTAGAATGCTAAATATGATTTTCACCTGGAAACCTCAGCAAATCATCATGTCAGATGTCTAAAAAAATCTGTTAAAAGAAATTAAAAGTCTAGCAAAAGAGCATATTAAGAATTGCCATCAGCAGAAGTTTAAATTCTTCCTAGAGAAATACGCACTTTCAATACAGGTGCACAGAGTATGTTTATGAAAAAGTATTTTTTTTTCTCTTTTTAGATGAGAGGGGGAGATTTTTTTTCTCTAGGGGTGACATGATTTACTGAAAAATACATAGTACAATTGAACTTAAATTGTAATAGTCAGACTTAAAATACTGAGAGAAGATTGTGGAATACATAATACATGATGTATTAAACAATACTTCATCTTAATTACTGTTCTCTTCTGAGGATATTTCTGTTAAGTTCAAGCATTTTGGAAAGGCCATTACAGAAGATGAAGTTCCTCATACGCCTTTCCACTGAATATGTATTTTAAACAAATAAGCAGTGACTTTTTTTTTCCAGAAAGCCAAAATGTGGACCGTGCCATCCTGTGAGCCTCTTGCTGAAGTCTGTCAATTTTAATAAGCCATGCTCTGTGTTCAGCTTCTGAAGGAAGTATTTCAAAGGGGTTTTGTTGATGGCCCTTTCCATGAGTGTTTTATTTGCAGTATTTTCCTTTTACAATGTTATTATGACTTCTTTATTGTTCATAAAGATTTAATATTTATACCACTGATATTTGAATTCACTTTACTGTTTTGTTGTGTACGAGACTACATAGTACAAGGTGCTTGGTAATGACTTCTTTCTTACTTGCTGGGCTTTTGCAGGTTTTCTAGTAATTTTTCTGGCTGGTTTTTTTCTTTACACAACTATGGAAAGACAAACAGTAAGATGTAGTCTGTTGGTAGCATTAGGTAGTATATGTCCATTTATCTGCTGTTTTGATGACACTGTAATTACACTTGGAGCTAATAATGCTGTGTCTAATTAAAGCTGTCATAGCTTTCACTGAAAAAAGACATATAACCTATTTGCAATAATGGTATAGGATATATGCAGAATAATGTATTTCTTGCCTTAGCAATTTTGCTGAGTTGATTCAATTAATCTTCATGTATCTGGAATAACTTTTGTATTGACACATTGATATTTAAATCATTTGGTTTGCATCACTTTTATTAAAATGTCACGTTATCTTTTTTCTGTTTTTTTTTAAGTGATAAAGCCAGCAGTTAACAGTGACTGTACAACAACAACCTTAGGTTTGAAACAGTTTCCTAAGTGATATTAGTAGTTATGCTGTAGCCAATACAGCTTGATGTCTTTTAGATCAGCAATTCAGTGTTAAAACTAATATGCATAAAAGAGCATAAAGTAATATCTAAAAAGGTTTCTTGTTTTTTTCAGGTGGGAAAGATTAATAATTTTGAAAGGTGGGAGTTTCTTTTGGCTCTTTGGCATAGAGGAGGAGAATGTTCTTTCCCTTCTTTGTTCTGTATCATCATTTCTCATTTTTCATATCTGTTAATATTAAAAATTACTGGAATGTTGCCAAAGTTTTTAACCTCAAACTTCCAGTTACAATATCACAGGATTAAAAATTAAAAATGTCCAGAAGCCAGACAGCAAATGTTTTCATATTTCATGTGTATTTATCTTTCCTTAATCCAGTTTAAAAAAACTCTTATCAGCAGACTGGAAACAAAATTTAGTGTTGTAACCTTTGCTGTTGTATTTGCTTACTCGCACAAAGCACAACAGTATTTCTTGTTGATCATATCTACAACTATCAAATTGGTTTTGAAAGCTGTTCATCTTTGTTATTTCTAGATGCTAACAGGTGTAGCAGTTGAATACAGAGAAACACTAGCCACAATATTTTGGGTTTGGTTTAATTTTAGTTGTAGCCAAGATGATTCTTCTGTTTTAACTCTTAGAAGAGGTGTTTTTAATACGTGTTGTAACAGAAATGAAGAAAAATATTCTAGTCCCCATTTTTTGCCAATCCTTGATAATTTGTTTAATTAGAATTTTGATTTTTGTCTTCAGAAGCTGAAAAAGTGGCAGTTGTTCCTGCTGCTGCTGCCACCACCACTGCTGCTGTGATCAAGCAGGAACTGCAGACAACTGCTCCTGTATTCAGTGCGCAGGAGAAAACGAATCCAGCTGACCCCTTAAAAGTAGCCCAACAGGATGCTGTGACTTCAGACCAATTGGCAAAAATACAGGCGACTGTTGCAATAGAAGGATGTACTGATGAGGAGAATACGGACAGTGGAGGAGAGGGCATGTACAGAGAACGTGATGAATTTGTAGTGAAGATTGAAGATATAGAGACACTAAAGGTAACCTGAATACTTGCTGGGGAGAGGTGGGGGAAATCATTAGAAATCCTGCATATGAATTTAGTTTCAACAAACTACCAAAAGGTAAAAGTCTGCAGATCAGTTTTCTGTTTCAATTCTAATATGCCGTGGTTGCTTCCAGGATGCCTTAAAGGTGTCTTTCTAGTGCAGGTTATGAATATGTTTTGTATGTACATGACCTATTTAATTCTACATACATAATAAAGTAGATTTATGTGCAGGTAACCTCTGTTAGGACTTGGATTTACCTTTTTATTATTGAAAGGCATTTTTTTTTTCACAGGCTGTTGGCAGCCTGTGATTTATTTATTAAGGTAGTAGTAGGTTTCTAAGTGTAAGTTGTTGAGTACATTACTTTTGGACTTGTGCAAAAGATCTTGGAATTGTCTTTTCTCCTTTTCTGTTGTTTTTTTTGGTGGTTTTTTTTGTTTGTTTTTTTTTCCAAAAGAGGTTCTGCTTACTGTTCCAGTAAGGAGTTTCTACCATAAGCAACAGTACAGCTCTTCACACGAGTTTACAGGAACACTTCTTGTGTTCTTGATTTCTTGTTTGGTTTTGTTGCTTCTCCATGTTAAATTCTTCATGTTTACCTTTCATTTTGTTGCTATCATAGCCATTCTTACCATTAATTTCTAATACTTCTGATTGCTTGTCTATGTATTCATCCTCTTGAGCAGAAGTTTTAAATGAATTCACATAGCTTTGTTGCCTGCAATAACTGATACTAGTTTTCAAGTGTTCCCTTGTCACTTACAAAAATAATTAAGGTATGCTGTTACATGCAGTTCGCATTATACTATCTTGATGCAAATGGCACATAGTGACTATGGGTTTGGAATTTTGAATGAGTTATTTTAATTTCATCCCTGTGTAACTTGCTGAAAAAATATAATGCGCAACACAGTTCAGGGAGAAAAATAAAAATGCTTCTTAGCAATAATTTTATGTTCTTACAGGTTGCTTTGCAAACAGGAAAAGAGCCTCCAGCTATTTGGAAAGTACAGAAGGCTTTATTGCAAAAGTTTGTTCCTGAAGTCCGAGATAGTCAGAGAGAGTTTGCTGCTACTAACAGTGTGAGTCTTAAAAATTCCTTGTTAAGCCTCATGGGAACTGATTTCCTTGATTTAAGTCTAGGAAAAAAGATAGAATGTGATTCTGACATACATTCTTAGGAAGCATCCTTGAAGGGGAGGAGGGAGAAAGGTTTCTTGATTTCCTTCTACTCTAAAATTCACTCTAAGTATATGAATGGGCAGAATTTTTGTTTTCCAGCATGGGTTCTTTAGTGTCGTTCAGCCTGCATAAAGGAGCAAGTTTACATAACCAGAATAAAGTCAGTGGAAGCAGGCTTTGTGAACCACAGTGGGAAAGGATTCAGATAGGATACAGTTTCAGCAGGCAGCCCTTTGCCGTACAGATAATTCTTTAGGGATAACACATGGGGAGAATTAAATAAATGGAAAAAATGAAGCCCAAAGTATGTCTTGCCTTATTTTCCTTATTTTCTTCCTTTAGATGTGGAAATCCATTGGAGAATTTCTCTTTAATTGGAAATGCTGTAGGATGGCTCATTCTTGTAAAGAAATTGGTTTTAAACTGACTTTGTCTTTAGTATTTACGTTTTTATTTGTTTAAACTGAACAATTTTACTTAACAAAAAACAGTTGCTTTTTTTTTTTTTAGTATCTTGGATATTTTGGGGATGCAAAAACAAAATATAGAAGAGTGTATGTGAAGTTCATTGAAAACTCGAACAAAAAGGAGTATGTCAGAGTATGTTCAAAAAAACCACGAAGCAAATCTGTACAGTCAGCAAGGTATTTTCTTTTTTTCTTTGTCATTTTGCCATACTGCTTTCATATGAAGAACACACCTATTTTAATAAGTAAGACTGTAACTCAGGGTTATGTTAATTCACCTTCAGGTTAGAAACTGAAAACTGTCTGGTTTGCTTTAAGAAATGAGATATAAATTACTGTCATATTAAGACCTTCCTACCTTGAATCTGTGGATTGCAATAAATTTTGGAGGTGTTGGGCTCCTGATGCTATTTCTTTCTGTCAGCTTTTGCCTCAGTATCAACATAGAAGCCTGCAGGTGTAATGATTTTAAATGTGTGTTGTTTTCTCCTATCCCGTGGACTTTGCAAGTTAGTTAAATTTTTCTGGATTGTTTTAATGATAATCCTGTACCAGTATACTACAAGTACTTCTCAATCCTGGAAAGTTAATTTAAAAACAGAAGTCAATTGTTGAAGTTGGTTGTTGCAAGTGTGCTTTTCCCTCTTCTGTACTGTCAGCACACTGGCGGTATTTACTTTTCTCATTGCCCATGCCCTACCCCAGAAAGCCTTATAACTTTGAGTGATGACCAGAAGAGTCTCTCACACAGTTATTTTGGGTAGCTCTGAGATTTCCAGTCACCTCCCTTCTGATAAGGTTATCACTGTCATTCACTAGCTAAGGGGTTTTCTGTTGAATTTTGTGTTGACCTTTGATTGTACTTTTGGAACAGGTTGCAGATTCTGTATTGAAGAACTCTGTCATTTATTGCTTAGCTTATGTTATCTTCTCACAACTTCAGATGATATCTGAACATTTTCTCTATGGATTTTCAGTAATTTAATGCAGATTGTTTTCTTTATCAGACACTAGTAAACAATAATAAAAAACCACAGTGTTCTTTATTCAAGGAATGACTGGCATTTTCAGGTAGTGGAGAATAATTCTTACGCATTATATAAAAAATAAAGTAGTATAGTATGTATGACCTCATTTCTAGTTACATGTTCTAGTTAAATGAAATAAGTATATATAATCCATGGAGAAAATAATTGTGGCTACATAAGATTTTAGCTATTTTATTAATATCAAAATTTGTGTGGTAATTATTTTCATAGAGATAATCTTTATGATATTGCAGGACTATTCATTGCAAACCTAACAGTAGCACCAACAAAACCCCTGATCCACCAACACCAAAACCAGCAGCAGCAAAGGTCTCTTCTGTGAAACCCAAAGCTAAACAGCCAAAGGTAAAGGCTGAACCACCACCAAAGAAAAGGAAAAAGTGGAAAGAAGAATTTTCATCTTCCCAATCTGATTCTTCACCTGAGGCCCAGAGCGATGAGGATGGTGAGAGAGATACTGTTGTTAGCAACTAGGGCCATTTGAACTTACTAGAAAAGTATGTTGCTCAATCTTGCAATTTTTTCTTTGCTAGCATCAGAAGCCAAAAAAAAAAAAAAGGAAGAAATATCTGACTGCCACACAAAATTGATTTCTTAAAACTTTTCATTTGTTTGAGCATGAGCAAATGTGTGCAGCTGAAGTTATCTCAAACGTAGTTTACCAGTTGGGTAAATATTTTCTTACTACATGCTTTCTCAGATGGGTACAGTTGAAGTCTGATTTTCAAATACATCTCAAGAATCAGATTCCTAGTTGATTTTTCCACTACAACTCCATGACATGTCTAAAAGAACATTTTCCACTACAACTCCATGTCTGCATGCAGATGTGGGCAGAATTCAGATGTTACTGTTGTTGTTTCAAGACCCAAGGAGAAAAAGGAGTTACTTTTTGGCTCTTTCACTGCTTGTCCAAACGCCAGCTGTTCAAATGTAGGCTGATGAGCACAATTGCTCTTAAGACATTCATGATGTCTTGGAACAGTGAGTTATGATGTTTGCAGTAATTCTCTGGAACAGAGAGAAATTTTTGTAGGGTGTTTATAGAGATTATCTATGATAGCAGATATACAGTGCATTTTGCAGGGTTTTTTTGTTTATTTTCTCTATGTCTGAAATTAAGTTGTGTAGTACTCATGTTTTGTACTGCTGCATTTGCAAAGCATGGTGGCTTTGATGACTTCAACTAAGGATAAGCTTGGGTTAGTGTACCTGAACAGTGCTTCTGCTGAGGACAGCACCTTTAAAATACTGGTTTTTCAAGCAAACCTGCCCAAATAACCATTAATATGTACAAGTGTCCATATTTAACATTTCCAGTTATGTGATGATAGTCATGCATAGAAATGTTGCTATCTGAGAAAGTCTTAACAGCCCTGCTAGCTAAATTCCTGTAAAATACTGGTGTCATATATTAGAGACTAAGAAAAGCTCCAGAATGTTCAATAGTACTGAGGACTGCTCCATGTGCATATGTAAAATTGCTGTCTATGGAAAAAAAAAAAAGAAAAAAAAAACCACAAAACACCCACAAACTGACCAAAAGTTTCCTCAGAATAAGTACAAATGTGCCTTCATTGCTTCCCTGGTAAAATTTGTTTTATGTGGTTGTTGTGAGTTGGACAATTAGGTGGGATTGACTTCGATGGTATGCAGGCTCCTAGGTGACATGAGTGCTTTTGAATGGTTTTCTGTTGGACTGCTTCAAGTTTTGTGGTTTTAGGAGGTACTTCCATTGACATGAAACCTGCACTTAGGGAACTTTGCCTGACTGAAGTTAGTTATTATCTCTTTTCTCCAGGCATTCATCTACAATAATACAAAAATGTTACAAATTCCCTAAAATATTACAGTCTAAGTGCTGATGGTTATAAGTAATTATATGTGTATCTACAAAAAATTACACCATTTATACCAGATTTGGGGTTTGTACCTAGTTTTGGCATGTAAGTTAGTTGAATATTATTTCTGGTTGTACTGAGTTTTAATCTCTGGGATACCAGTAGGGGTCACTTGTGTTTTGAGAAACCTTCAGTTTTGAAAAATACAAATACTTGAAGGATATCAAATGAAAATAGTCTTTATATTCCAATTAATTTTCAGAGCTTGTACCTCCAGCTCCCCTCGTTACTCGGTTTCTGAACACAAGAGCTATGAAAGAGACTTTTAAGAGCTACATGGAGTTGCTTGTTAGCATTGCCTTGGATCCAGACACAATGCAAGCCTTGGAAAAGAGCAATGGTACAGTATGTTTAACATTTGTATGTTTTAATTATATTTTAAGGTTATTAATTGGTGAAACAAATGTGTTTTAAAAAAATAAATAAAAACCCCACCAAACGTTTAGCTACATCCGCGCATCTGAAGAACACTTTACACAAATCACTTGTGTGTGCATATATATATATATTTGAACTACCTCTTTGAATAATCTAAGCAATTTGGAAAGACTGTTTTGTCTGCCTTGTTAACATACAGCTTGAGCTGTGAATGTCAGAGCTGAGCTCTTTGTTCCTGCTCTTACTAAATTTTAAAATCTTTGCAGCCATTATTTCAAGTTACTGTTTCAAGTGTGCATTTGCTTTCTTATGAAGAAACATCCTGATAAGTAGTTCTCATTGTTGCTATTATTAAAAATTCTGCATTTCAAACTCTGAAACTTTAAAGTTCAGATCAAAACTAATTATATTTCACATTTTGTTTGGGGAGAAAATGTTTGCACTTATTCACTGTGGTCTTATTTACTGTAGTGGACTCCAAGATACAAGTCAAAACTCTTACTTCTCAAAACTTAGTGAGACACTCATGTATAAAGGTCCAAAAGGAGAAATCATTTCACATACTCTTTAGTTGCAGGCTGATGTTTTGTACTGTTCTGTTTGCCTGTATTTAGAAAACTACTTTCTATTATCTCCTTTCCTGATTTGCTCTGGTTGTGCATCGGTACACACTTACCTCAAGGTTTCATACCCATGTGTATATCAGTAGGCTGACTAAAAGCAGAGAAATTGACATTATAAAATAAAGATTCCATACTGAACTGTAAACTCACTCATGGCCACATGCCTTGTGTTCAAATGTATAGCATAAAATTATAGTGGTTTATCAGATAACTTCTATTAGTAAGTGCTTTCCTCAATTTCTTTTGTTATAAATGCCAACAGGGTCATCACTCGTAATATGGAATAGCAAATGTCAAACCACATACTTGTCTTTACAGAACTGCCAGTTGTATTACAGACGAGAGGATTATCTAGCACATGGTTTGAAATTGTCTCAAGATTTGTGCTCTGTATTGCTCTGTCTTATTTTTTTTCCTTTCAACAGAGAAAAGTCAGAGGAGGATTGCAGACAGCAATTAAACTGCATAATATCTAGACCACCAGGCTAATAAAAAACTCATGTTTGAAATCAGTTTATGTGAAAATTGCATTATTTTTTTTTACTTCCATATTTTATGTTGATGGGTTGAAGCATAGATTGTATAGGAATCTCATTACTGTATTTTTCTCAATCAACTGCTGACACTTCTTTTTTGTGTCTTTCAGATGAGCTACTTTTGCCTCACATGAGAAAAATTGATGGTATGCTGAATGATAATAGGAAAAGACTGCTTTCCAAATTACGCTTGGATCATACATTCAAGGTATTCTTTTTTAAATTCTAGGATTTTTGAGTAATGTTGTCAGTAAAGTATGTATTGGGTGAATACCATGCAGGCATGACTTAAAACCCTGAAGGCAAATTCGTAACAGAAGTGAATAAGGATTTGGAAGAGATGCTATCAATTCCATGCTTGTGTGTGGCATTTGGAGAACATTTTGTGATGGAAGAGTATATACTGCAAAGTTAAAGTTCTAGTCTTAATCCCCATGCTTTCTGGTTCATTCTCAAGCATTTTTTCTGTTACGCTTCTCAAGTTTGCCAAAAGGAAAATCTGTTTCCTGTCCTAAAGCTTTTGGTCAAGTGATTGTATTGTCTAAAAATCTTAATAAACTTTTACATGAAACAGCTATGCTGTGGAGCAGATGTCTGAACTTCTTTGAAGTAGAAAACATGATCAGAGTAGTTTAAAAGTGGGACAGAGGGACTTGAGAACAACTTGTTTGTGTGCTCTTTGATGTATCTTCAGCATAGAAGGTTGGGAAAAGTATGGATAACAAGCCCATACTACAGCAATTTTGACATGAAAATAAAAACCAGGTCTGAATGTGGGCACGGAAGGAAGCAGCCCTACTGTCTCAGTAGAGAGAAGGTAAACAGGAGGATAAATAAGCACTGTGGTTCCTCCCATCTACCCTCCAAAAATGCAGATTTCCAAAGTGCAGTGAAGTGAATTAAGGTTATTTTCGCCTGTGTTGGAGAACTAGTTGTTGATGTCTGTGATAAGACTGGTTATTTCTTCTTATAACAGTTTTGAGACCAACCACAGTAAAGCAGACCTGTCTGTAAACACCATCAGACCAAATTTGCTTTCATCTGTCTTTCACCATTCCCTTTACATCCGCACTGCAGACAAACTTGCAAAACTAGTTGTCTCTCTGTATTACTCTGTACTTATTTTTGAGGAGGAATGTAATAGCAGACTTGATTGTTCTGTTTCAGAGATCTTTTTCTCCACAGACCATTCCTGATAAGTTTTGTGGGATGCTGTGATCTTGTTTCAGAGATGAGAACATCATCCACCAGTGAAACAGCTTCAATTCACACTCTTTTAACTCATTTCTTGTAGGTAATGCTGTTTTCCCAGTTTTAGGGAAAAAGCTCATAGGATCTTCTATAATACTGACATATAATTGTAGTTGCTTATTCAGTTGGAGTTCATAACTTATAATAGCTTTGCTGTGTGTGCACTTAGCAGCAGATTATGTATCATAGCTCTTAAATTTGCTGGAAGCCTGTATTTCTCTGTATGATCTGCAAGAAGTTAGTGGAGTTTGGAATGTGAGAAAGGCATCTGCTTATGATGTAAACTGCTAGATAAAGCCTTCTGTGTTTGCTTCCTGGTATGATAGTACCAACTTGTGCCATCCTTGTGCCAGTATTTTGGATAAGAACTGGCCAAAGCCCTTGACAGTGAAAGTCAACCCTGAGGAAGGCTATTACAGCAGCTAGAAAAACTAATTTAAACCTGTGGAAGTTGATGTTCCCGTTTGAGAGCATTGAGATGAATATTGTATATGCACAGGTTAGCTAGTCAAGGTTACTGCTACCACTGTGCAACTGTCTCTCTGCCAGCTGATTCTGTACCATTTTACTAGAGAGGGTTTTTTTATAAAGTGGAAAATGGCTGATGTATGTGAAGTGGTAAGAAATTATAGGCAGGGGAGGTTACTGACTTCTACTACTGCTTGTTAAAAGAAAATATAAAAATTTAATCCACTTCATGTTTTAATCAAATGGTTCAAATTAGTTCCTTAGGCTGCAGCACTAGTATGTTTTTGTGTATCTGATTTTTTTTCTCATACTGGGGTATAACACAAAGATAGATACGTTCATTGAACTTGGAATTTTTTTCAATACCAAATTACATAGCATAACAGCTGTTTCAAAGCAGCCACTAACATAATGCTATATTTGTACAACAAAGTTGTATTCAAATTTACTTATGCAAATAACATAGAAATGAAGCTGGTTATGAGTTAATATGTCTTAAAAACTTGTGCTTTTTTGAGTCAGCCATGTACTTAACTGTGCATAAGCTTTTCTACCTTACAAATATGATAAGATGCAATTAAGTTGTATTTTGCAAAAGCTGGGACAAAACCTATGAAGATATTTAGGCATCCGATCCCTGCTACAGTTGGTAGGCTTCCCATGCCTGACTAGGCATGAGAAGTACTTGGGCATCTCCAAGTAATGTGGCCTTATCGATTCTTGGATAGAAATGGAATGGGAAGCATTCTAAAAGGTGAAAAATGCCTAGTGCAGCCTTTTTGGTTTGCTCTTTCTAATGAAGGAATCACGGATGATAATCTGAGATGCAATAAAAGGATTTTCTTAGTTTTGAAGAATTACAGTAGTCAGGAACAGGTGGTCCTGCTTTTCAAAGTGTGTATGGTTGCTTGAGCTGATAAAGACCACTTATAGGCTCTTTGTGGAAGAATAAATTATTTCATAATAGGCTGCAGCCAGACTTTTCAAAGAAACACAGCCAGTTTATCAGCAGTCTGGGTGGTTTGGCCATTCTTGAATTTTTCAAAATTCTTTTTCTTTATATGCTCTGTTTAAAGAATGCTTTGGAAAATTTTCCTGAACTGACAGTGATCACTCGGGATTCTAAGACAAAAACTGGAGGAACATCTGTGTCTAAGATCAAAATGAATGGTAAAGCTTACAACAAGAAAACACTGAGGGCTTCTAAATCAGCCACTAAGTTAGCACCGGTGAGTGTTCAGAGGGTTTATTGCTGCCACCATCTGTCTTCTAATCAAAACAGCATTTACATGTAAAGTACTACTTCGTGACTTGTTTTTTTTTTTGGTAGATCTATGAAAATATAAAGTATTTGAGTGAGGTGCTTTTTCTATAAGGGAATGTTAAAAAACATTTTAACAGTATATTAAATCATGGGTTTAACTCATCTGTGAAATAGAATTATTTTCCAGGAATAATAAAATATTTCAGAATTATTCCCCTATTTAATGTCTATGTTTAGACCTAAATGCTCTTGTCCTGTATATTTATACAAGGGAGGGGAGGATTCTTTACAGAAGAAAATGTCCATCATATATCTGTCTTGGAAAATAATGTGAATTTATCTAAATAACTGTTCTTTTTGCAGGAGTTTACAGTAGATCCAGAAAAAATACAGTTGTATTCTTTGTATCACTCACTCCATCATTATAAATATCACATATATCTAACATGTAAAGAAGAGGTAAGTCTTGTCCTCTTTGAGATACTTTCACGCATTTGAGGGAATTGGGTCCAACTAGAGGAGCTGTTGTCTTCTTGTAAAGAGTATGGATTCTGGTCTCCTATTTTAATTAATTCTTTCTGGCAAAGGAAGGGGTATGTTGAGCACATCTATTGCCCCTGATGGGCACTGCTGCTCAGAGCATTAAGAGATGAGGCTTACAAGGTTTGTGTGAAATCAGTTTCCCTTGGGGATAGGTAAGCATTCTTCACTGTTATCCAAAGGAAACGAAACTGAATTTTATTGGTGTGTGTAACTCCTCAGATTTAGAAGCTACTTTTTGTCTTAGAATGCCCACTCCTTTGTTATTTTCTGAAAATCCTTGGTGGAAGTATTCTGGGTAGCAGAAATATGAGAATTGAGCTCTGATTCAGTTGTTAAGAAATGCTTTGGGGGGGCATTTCCCACGTTTTTAAAGTTTTAAGGGCTTTCTTCCGAAGAAGGTTTGTATTTAACTGCAGAGTATTACAAAAATGAAAATTCTGAATTGCTGGCAGCCTAACGTGTGTGTGTGTATGCATCTCTCTTTCCCTCCTTCTCATTTTTAAATAGATTTCTTCTGTGCAGAAGAAGAGTGCAGACCTAGGACAGGAAGAGATTGTGCAGCTCTGCATGAAAAATATAAAGTGGGTGGAGGATCTTTTTGAAAAGTTTGGTGAACTTCTGAACCGTGTCCAGCAGAAATGCTCCTAACAGAAATGTATCCCAAGCCTCACGTTTTTCTAGAGCACTAACCCAATGGAACAGAAAACTCGGAGAGAGGCTCTGATTTCTTCTGCAAGGCCAGACTGTGTTCTCGCTCATAGCCTTTTTTATTTCTCTTTACGGAACATTGTGCCTTGGCTCTTGCTAAGGAAAAGTGATGCTGCCAAGGAAATCAGTCCTTTGGAGATGGAACTAAATGCAAACCTAACCACATTTTTAACCTGAAGAATTATTTTCTATTTTGTAAAGTATTGGATAACTTAGTTTTATTTTCAGAAATGGTTTTGACAAGTGATAAAGCATGCACTACATATATTTTTTCTTTATTGCTAAAAAGTTAACAACTCTTAGAATACTACAGATTTTTCCATCCCTGACTAAGCAACAGAAAAATCAGTGTTGGGGTGAACTAATTTTTACATGTCTGGCCACCAAATTTAGAGTTTTGTACATTTTATGAACAGAGCCGGAATGACATCAGCTTCTGCATTACGTACATTGCCATCATGAAATACAGAAATGTCATTATGCTTTATGGACTCCTTTTACTATTGTCATGTTCAGGAGACTGAACATGGAGTTGGTGCAATCCTATGACTGCTTTTTGTGTCAAATTATATTGTAATGAAAGACAATGACCTTAACTATTTTCCCTGTTTTGAACAAAAAGAATATTTTCCTTTATACTGTGTTGTGGATTTTTGTTGGCTTTTTTTTTTTTCTTTTGGGAAAAAAATCTCAATTGTACATTTTATCTCACTAATAGTTGTATTTTTCACAGAGGAAATATTGTGGTTAAAATTGTTACATGTATCTTTGTAATACACTTTCCATTGTTTTCAGTAAATCCTATTCATTTATATGTTGATTTCATATTGTAAACTATATATCTTGAGGTAACCCTTTTGTTTATACAGGTTTGCTTCAGTGTTAACCAGAATAATGCATTCTAGACTAGTTTTGCTTTAAGTGTAGTTGTGTTAGACACTGCAGTTATTTTCTGATACGTGAAAATAAATTTCTTACTAAACTAGCACTTGATTAACTGAGAGTTTAAATGAAGAGCTACTACACTTTATCTTCATCAACAAAGATTGATGATTGACTAGACTGTATGCAGTGTTAAACACAGCTTACATTATTATCTGTAGAAGTGGCAGTTGCAGAGCTGTTCTCTTTTTGGTGCCTTTCAACTCTCCAGACATCTTTGTAGCTTTTTCTCTCCCCTCCAGTTTTTAACAGTAGTGCCACTAGTCACACTCAGACAATGAATGTAATGGGCTCTGGTCAGGAGAACATTTTCCTTAAATTTGCCAACAGAATGCCTTACTGAGTCATTCAGAATGGATATGTACTCTACTGGCGTCCTAAAAAACAGTCGTGTTGGTCTTTATTTCAGATAATGTAGAAAAAAAATAATTCATTCCTTTATCCTTTTGCTGCCACTTAGTGCCTTAATTTCAGCCAAGAAAGCAGGGTTCACTATTCATTGGCCGAATGAAATAATGTTCGTTGCCATGTGACCTTTTTTCCCCATTATCTGTTTTGATCCTATTTAGTTGTTAAATATTCATTAGACCATAGAACTATAGAGTTTAATGAATAGATGTGAAAATGAAATTATTTCATCTTGAGTAATCAGATAGAGGTTTGGATATTAAAGTATGTACAGAATTTTAGCTGATTAGTTTTAGAACGTTGTAGGATGTTTACCATTTTTCCAAAGCTTTTCATCTTTTAAAAGCAATAATTTGCCTTTACGATGTGTATGCAGACTACAGTGAACAGAAATGGGTATGTGCCCTTGCCTTTTTTAAAGCCTCTTTATAGTGGTTTTACTTTAAAAAGGGAGGTTACTATCATATTACTAGATGCATTGTGCTACTGATATGTTGCCTGTGATCAAGGAGAGCAAGGTGGGTTTGGGTTTAGGAAGAATGTGCAGGTTGTTGGAGCAATCATGAGGCTAATTCGTTTTTGTGGTGAAAAGCAGGGTAGCCACAGGGTTGAAGAGTTGCTATTGTTCCGGTTGCACTGTGTTGACTCTGGTAGGAGCTAGAGTTTATATGGTGAAACCAGACAGGATAGTTACCCACATTGATAGGAATCAGCTAAAATTGTTTTAATGTACATATGCACGCTGCAGAAACAGTAGAAATGTGCCTGGTATATTCTTTAATTGATAGTGAAGGTTCCCAGATTTACTGAGTGTCTTCCATTACTGGTGGGGGTGGTTAGCAGCGTGTGTAGATTTATGAGAGATATTTACTTACCTGGGCAGAATTCTGTGGTCACATTGCGGTGATATATATGGACAGCACAGTTTGGGAATTAATAAATCTGCAGCAGTAAAAATTGCCAGGATGAAGACTGAGGGAACAATCAGGATGGATCCTTGATGGAAAGGAACATGTCAGACTTTGTGTCTTACGTATCCCTGCCTAATGTGACTACAGAGCAACTAAATGAGACGTCTCTGTGCTTTCTAAATGGTTTCTTAACTGCTACTGGATGTTTACTCCAGAATTTGAATCTAGAAGCAGCTTAGGAAGCTACTTGTTCAGTCCAAGTCCTTAGAAGCTGAAGAAGGAAATGAGAGGCCTTTGGAATAGCTTGTCCCCTATTCAAAAAGAACGACATTTTAGCAACAACGATTTAAGAAAACCCAAAGAAAAAAACCTGCCAGGATGCTCTGCACTGCCACAGAAGGTGACCTGGCTTATTTTTGGCTGTTTTATTCCTGAGGCCAGTTAAACAAGCACTGTGGCTGTAGAAGACAGGAAAAACCTGTCTTTAATAAGACTAACTACCCTAAGCTAGTAAAGATTAATATAATGGAGCTTCCATCTTTGTCTTGGGCAGCAAAAATGGTGACTGGGTTATTAATTTACCAAATTAGAATAAGTAAAACCACGGAAGTCTCAAGTATGTTGAAGGATCATGAATCAACATAAAGCCTTGTTAGTGGGATCGAAGAGGTGTTTTATACTGAAGCAAACTTAGAAAAAAGTCAATGGATGAATTACTTTTTTACACAAATACTTTGTTTTGTTACATTTTAGGTTATTAATTCTGCACTCACAGCTCAGTCCTTTTTTTTTTAAGTAACGGTGAAGTCTTCACCCCTTAACATCTGACAGTGAAAACTGAGTACTCATTTGATTGCAAGAGAAATGCATTAGGAAGGAACAAAACCCTCCTTAGACTATGAATTAGTAAACCAGAAATTAAACTAATTGCAGGATGAAGTACTTGGTTTTTAATGCTGCTCTTCCTTCCTTTAGCCATGGCATCCCTGTTTACACTGGGTTTGTTTTTCTTGAAATACATTATTTCTCTTAAAGGCAGGTTTTCTTTGAGATGCTACTTCCAAAGTTTTGCTAGCAAAAAATCAGAGACAAAATTGGATTGAGAAACTCTTTCTGAAAATAGCTAGGGACTTTAGGGTCTTTGACGTTCTATGGCATGTATTGTATTCATATCTTGTCGAAATGAAATACTACTTTTTAAAAAGTCAGATGTTGCAGGCTGTCTTCCAAGTAAATGATTTCCATAGGGAAATATATTTTAAATATTATTTAAATATTTAGTACTATTTAAAACAATTTTAAAACAGAAAAGCTAATACTATGCTCACAAAATGTCAGTGTGTCATCAACCATTTCTTCTTTTGTTGCCAACAGTTCACATTTGGTCTCTCGCATACCTGTGCATTGCACAGTGCACGTTCTTCTGTATCTTATTGTTTAAGCTAATACTGACATGTCGTTGGTAACAAGTGCATGTTTTTCTGCATATATTCTTTACATATGGCAAAAATGAAGCTAGGGCTAATTAAGAGACACTTTATGCATTCTTAGTCCAGATTTTCAGGTGGTCCGTAATACAATGTATGGAAATGTGAAAAAGGACAGTTTTGTACCATTCATGATGTTATTAACTAAACCCATTAAAGTGAAAACACTTTTTAAACAAAAACCTTATAATGCTTAGTCATTTATTATTAAAATACTAAGTTGTGAAAAGTTAAGACTGTTGGAAACCCTTGGCAATTTAAACTGCATGTTTTGGTTTCCAGATGAAGAAATACAGTTCTAGGGTCTGGGGGGGAGGGGTGTTCTTCATTTTACTGCATGAATTGAGCATGTGTGGTTGATCTGCTTTGTTACATCCTTAATGTTCTCGGTTAATTTTCACAATACATCTGCCAGGTCTTAAACTGATGTGACAAGTGAGGAGCCAGGTGGTTGGCGTAAGAGAGACTACTGCTGTGATTCAGGTGTTTCTCAGCTACACTATTTTCTCCTGTTCCTGCTCTTGCTAAGCTAGAATACCATCTCTATGTACCTGTGGGAAGGAATGGTGCTCTAGAGGGTTTTAGTCTCCCACCCGCATTGCAATTAATTACTCTGGATATTCTTAAAAATATTTTTTCCCCATGCAGAGGGATGAAGTCCTGTGATGTGGCTGTTGGCCATAAGATACATAATAGGCCTTCTCTGAGCCACTTGCTGGCACAAAAAGGTGAATCTGAAGGGCTGGAATATGAGGGGGGTTTTGATGCTCCTGAGTGCAAGAGCTGCTTCCCAAGCCAATATAAGCATAAGACATTTGCCCATGGAGCTGATCATTGTTTTCTCCAAAAAGCACTGGGAAGCAGGTAGACACAGAGAATGCCCCATTGCAGCGTGGAGGATGAACCTTTAGCTGCTGTGTTCCAGATACACGCTATCATTGATGAACTGTTTTGTTTTTAAAGAGAAAAAAAAAGGCAAGAAGCTGAATGTATGCAGCTTTTTAAAACAAAACTATCCTGCTATCATCCATTTGTTGGTAAGTATCAGGCAATCAAAAGAACTTGTTCTGCATTAGGTACTTGCCCCTCCTATGAAAAGCAAATCTTTATTTCGTTTCTAGAAACAAAACTGTCTTAAATTGATTTTAATTTGGAAGAAACATGTGTTGGGTGTGAGAAGACATTGGAAAGGATGAAGAATTTGGAGGGAGGCTAGGGGAGTTTTTGGAGTGTGCCTCCTAACTGAGGAACAAGGGGTGTGGCAGTGAGGAGTGGTCTTCATTAGGAATAGCTTCAATTAGGTCTGCTGCAGCCTATATACTGACTGGAAAGCAAATAAGCCAGCAATTTGGCCTGGTGGCAGGTGGACATTCCTAGCAGAGTCCCACTAGGGCACTGGTAGCATTTTGCTGCACACAGTGACTTCATCAGATTTATTCAGTCTAGTCCTAGTTCTGCCTTTTGCTATTAAAAAAGGGGTTTCTTTTGAGAAGCATGGATTCCAGCATATATTGCCACATAGCACCAGTGGCTTTTTATTGCCTGCTACTATAACCCATTGTTAAGAGTGTGTATTAATAGACCATGGTTCCTACTTGGTTTGTCCTGTATTGTCAGTGTTCAAACAAGTATGAGGAGAGCAAAAGCCCTTTTAGGAAGTATTTGTATTGCAATCATCTGGGGTAAGAGCTTTTGTTTTATTTTTGCAAGTGCAGGTATATCATCGGACATTCAGCACTAATCTTCCTTCAGATGTCCATGTGAAGGGTTAAAAACCCCATATATTTGGACAGTGTCCTGTATACAGTTAATATATTAACTTTAAAATACAGTAACTGGGTCCTAATGGAACATCCTGAGCAGTGAATTATTGATCATATAGTTTGTGTAACAGCTTCAGAATTGGGAGTATGTCTTCTAGACATGCTGAGGTATTTACACATAGGGGTGTTGGAATTGTGTATCTGATCCTGTGCATGTGATAAAGGTTATAGATGGTAGCAGCCACTCTTGGCTCCAATTACTATCCTTAGCCTTAAAAACTTCATTTAAAGTGCTGTGGTTAATTTTTAATAGGTGGGTTTGGTTCAAATTAGAATTAAACTAAGTCTCTTTATTCTACATGTGTTACTTGAAATCTTAAACTATCTCACTGGGAGTACGTGCTGTAGCTTTCTAAGACTTCCAGGACTTAGCAAGACCTTTTAAGTAAAACCACACTGTTCGGCATCATTCTC